TGATAAGCTTGCAGCCAGCCCCACAAATAAGCTCCAGCACTAGTTGAGTATCAATTCCAGTCCCTTAAGTAAGTTGTCACCCAAAACACGAAAGTATATTCTGCGTCCATCCTGGATCAGCAATCTACAATAAAGCCTTACAATCCCACCGGTATAATTATACGAGGACAGCTTGGCGTGCATCGACCTCTACTAATTTTCCAGCAAATATATTATCATTATCTTCAGATAATGCCCACCGCATTAAGGAGATACTTGCGAGTAAGTTAGTTTTTCCTACGGGTGCTGGCTGGGATATTTCACGAGCGCTTCAACTGACAACGCATGCAGCCAACGAGCACCATGGGGCTTCTGGGGCTGTCCACAAATGTGACATGGAGTAATTAATGCGCATTTATTGCTTAAATTATATAGGCATCTTATTTTATTCCGTCCTCCGTCTTTTCTGGCGGCCTTTTGAAGGGTCGACGAAAATAGACTCCGTACCACTACACGTCCCCCCTAGGTTTTCACACTATAGGCCAGTGGTCCGCAAAGGAGCTTTGAAACAACTTTCGCGTTTGCAGCAAAATCTTTTGTAAGCAGACAGCTCTTCTGACCCGGAAGGACTCAATACTTGCTAAAAGGATAGCTGATTTTAGCGCATACATCCTGACCGAAAATGTCCGCGAAGGGACCACAGGACACAGAAAAGCCAGTCACAGGTATCTCTGCCCTTTTCACATTGTGCGCTTTCTTTTGCCGAAAGAAGCACTAGACAGTCCTGCTTCCTGTTAGAAACGAGCAGTCGTCTGCATTTTTATCTGCACGCGATGCTAGCAGATGCATATTTTAAAGAGTCTGGCCAAGGCAGAAAAGGGTTGCTGTCTCTCCGCAAACGCACCGGCAAGTAGGAGGCAACCGATTTACAAGCTACAGTTACCAGCGATACATCTACTACGAATTCTGACGCGTTTCCAGAAGGCGAATCGTCCGAATCGGAAGAGCTTCACACGCTCGAACAACTACACTCCAAAGCACAGGAAGAAGTAGAGGCTCTTCGCGAGTTGCTCGAAAAAACAAGGCGTGGCAGGATTAAAGTGCAGCTGGAAACAGTGAGTTTATGGCATTGCCGAACAGTTTAAGGCCTTCAGGCTTCAAGATATATGGCAGTTGACACTGATGCTCCGGCTTGGTATGGAGAACTTGGAAGAAAGTGTGAGAGGGGCTCCATGTAGGCCATGCTTTCAAGAATTCGAGAAGCAACGCAAAAATGCAGTGACAAGTTGGAGCTAATTCTCAAGAAGGAGGATGGAGAAGCATCGGTTGAGAAGGCTGCACACCTGGAGGAACTAGCCGGATACGACAACCGTGTACACGTTTTAGAAGTACAAGGGACCTTAGAAGAGGAAGCACAGCTTACTTCGACTCAGCTGCTACTAGCTGCAGCTGACAAGTATTTTCAGGAAACCTTGGCCTCGACGCAAGCAAGGAGCACGGAATTCAAAGCAACTACTCTAAAAGAAGCTGAGGAGATAAAGGAAGAAGTGGAAGTCCTCAGAAAAACACTTGATCAAGTGCGACACGACTGATAGTGTGTTCTCATCAGCCAAAAGACCTGGTGAAGGCTTGCCGCATTCGATTGCTGCGCACTTGAGAATCCTCTTTTGGTTGTATTGCCTAGCAGCATCCTTCCTTTCAAGCATAGTGCATTTCAAAGGGGTTTGGTGCAAAGTATGTCCAGCAATGCCTGCTTTTTCCCATTTTGCTCAGCACCTAACTAAAATTAGGGAGACCTTCGAAAAAAACACAGAAGACCTGAAATTACAATGCGCCAAGGAGCTAAAAGTACGCCATAACACTCACTAACGCGCTCTACCAAAATAAACCGGCCTCAGTAGTTCTCATAGACAGTATATGACACAAAAACCTCAAAGGCACCAGTGCCATCCTGAGCTAGTTAACATCCTTTTAATGTGTTTACGATGGGGTGCATACTGCCGTAACCGGCGTCTTGGCTCCACTGTTCTGCACGCAGTGTGCAACTTGGTGTACTCAGGAATTGGAGCAATCATTAGATTTACACGAGAGTGTAGCCCTGCTCGAGGTAGAAGAGCAAAAGAATTGCCACAAAAATAAGCTCAAGGCATTCAATGAAGAAGCGCTTAGCAGGTTAAAGGGTAGGCACTCTCCTAGCCACTAAGGGGGCAGCACAATCACACGAGTGTGCACTTCATTGGTTCGCTCCCATGATTCAATATGCGAGAACTAGTAGGTTGTACGAATGCCTCCCCCTGTAGCCTACTATGAGGATATTACACGAGACAACTTGCAGCTTGTCAAGAAACTGCGGGCCGAAAACGAGAGGATGTCGGCTAATAACAAGAGACTCAAAAAAGAAATAGACGTAATGGCAGCCCAAAATGCAAAGATCCGGGAACCCCTTAAAGAACAAGAAGCCCTAAAGTAAGCAGATGCCTACTGTTCTGCAAACGCTCTTTCTCATGCATGCCCATGGCAAAAACCGCTCCCCTTTCGTTTATTACCAGAGACCGTCTGTATGCCTTCGAGCTCACCTGTCTATTCACGCAGCCTAATATTCCTATTTTTTGCCCGCGTTCCCTTAAATCGTTGTGTATCCCTGGGAACCATCACTGCGCTGCTATTCAGTCTTACGCTGCCGTAAAAGATAACAACATAAGCGCGGTATTAGCAGTTCGTGTATACCGCACTACTTCACCTACAATTTCGTGTAATTCATGAAATATTCAGAGCCCGGCTCAAAGTGCAGCTCCGTTTTGTGGAGAAAGACAAGCTAGTCCTTCGCAATCTTAAAAGGAGAAATCAAATGGTATCCTTACCCTGGAACACCGCTGATCGCATAGCCACAGAAGAGAAGCCATGAACTTTGTATACGGTGCTGTGAACGTGCACGCACCAGTATGCGCTTCCGAGTGTCCAGAGGTACGATGAGGATACTTATTGTGCGTGTAGATGGAAGAAAATATAAAGAATGCGCGCATGGAGGTTCGAAATCTAGAACACCAGAAGAAAGCAATAGGCCGTTCCATTGGTCAACTGCAACAAAGTTTGAGGGATGTGCATCAAGAAACTAGTGCAGGGTCTGCTGCACACGGAGCGTTGCTGAGGCTCCAAGCGACAGAGACGCTTGCAAAGCTAGATTCAAGCTTCCAGCGAATACAGTCTACACAATCTTGCCCCAATTTGCCTCCAGGAGTATCATCAGCTATTTGCGAGCTTATCCAACAGACGATTACTGACCATAACCAATGTGAAAGGGATTTGAAAGAAGAGCTGCGCCGGTGCATTGAGGCTTATAATGATATGTTAGTATTTATGCGCCATCGTCTGGACGAGCTCAACGTGCCTCACTCTTCTATCAAAGCCAAGAGTATCGTGTACGAACAGACACAAGGCATGCCTGATATCGGGGACGAATCCGTTTCTGCGTCAGAAACAGCGCCCGACGGGAAAGACACAACTGTCAATCAGGAGTCTGGTCAGGCCTCAGTTGAGTGGAAGGAAAGGGCAGATGGATCGGTAGCCACAGGCAGTTTAACAGGAGCATCTATCGACCGCGAAAGTGTTCCCAAAAGCTGCAGCCATCCTTCCGGATGGGCCATTACTTATCCGACAGCAAAAGGATCGGACAATATCCACTTGGGGCAAGTGACGCTCCGGAGGCTGACCGGAAGTTAATTCATTATGGAAAAGCATTTATATTCGTGCAATATGCAACACATGTTCTGGAGAAATTTGTCCACACGATTACTCCGTTTGCGTTTTTGCAATGCAATGCGTGTTTTCCCTCCTCCCAAAATTTTACCTTTGAACAGCCCAGCGGGTGGGATTTTGAAGATGAGCTACATCACCAGCAGCAGCTGCTGCTGGAGAGCTGGGCGGAACACCGTCAAATACAATGATATATTTATTAGCGAATACGTGTGTTGCGTTTCGGCACCCGCGGCACTTTTGTGTATCCTCTGCTTCAAAAGGTACGGCAGCAGCACGCATCGCCGCTGCTACTCCCCCAGCTACTGCTGTTGCTGATGTTACTGCTGCACCTGTGGGAACTGTGAATATACGAATAGCCGATTGCAGACGATACAATCGACTGTGCTGTGGTAGCAGCGAATTTGTTCCTGCAGCAGAGGCGCGGTAACCACAGCTGTTGGGAAGGGCGAAGCCTCTACCCACGACATCAGCTGATGGACTCCGGATGACTTCCATACTATTTTAGCGTGTTGTCAGTAAAAGGGAGTGTTAAGTGGTGCAGCAACTGCGGATTGGATGGACTGCGAGTTCACCACCGCGGCGATGGCAGAGGTGAAAACAGAAATGCAAACTGCAGCATGTGCAGTAGCAGCAGGAGGATCTGTAGCAGCAGGAACAGGACCTCCACCGGGAGGGGATGCTGTTGCTACGCCGCGGTGTGTACATCAGCCGCGGACGCGTGTGGAGGAAGCGGCAGGCATAGGGACGCTGCTGCTGCTATCAGGAAGACTTGCAGCAACGAAAAAGGCTCGGACGAGGTGTGCGTCTATAAGGTCCAGGTGAGGAGAGATGAGAACATGGCTGCTGTGTGGCCGAAATACTATTTTCGGTAAGTCTTGCGGAGAGAGGCAGCAACGCAAAACAAACTTGCTGCTACTGCCCATGTTGTTGAGGTGACCTTCCTCCTACAGGGAAACCAAGAGAAACACTGAACAACTGAGGCAATAAGGGGGCATCTACAGCATGCTCCGTCTAAATTGGTACGCGTACATTTACTTTTGCGCAGGTTGGCTACTCAGGGCCAAGGAAGTGTATAACAACTGTCTACAGTGTTAGTGCAGGCATCAAAAGATGGATCCGGTATACTTGCATCTGGAGCTGCCTTGCAGCACGAAACGATGCAACCCGTGGCAGGCCTGCTTCACTCCCTTTCAGCCACCCCCTATCCTGGCTTGTGAGCCGCGGTGTCCAGGAGGGGAGAACATCTGTTTAGGGGGAATTCCTTCTAAAGTCTGTCGGCTTTATTCGAGCTCAGAGCTGCGCTCTGCTCTGCTCTTGATAGAGGACCCTCCTTGCATCGCAGCTACGCACAACACGCCACACCAAAAGAATATTGAATTCAACTCACTAATATCTAGTTTGAGTTTCATTTGTTCACATACATATACGCATTAAATTATTGTGAATAATTGCGGCTTTGTTTGCCCGGTCTTAGTAGCAGCTGCACTCTTCAGTGTTCTACTAGTGAAGGTTCCCAGGAAAGCGCTGCATTTGGGGAACTACCGCCGGTGTCTCTGCTCAATCTAGCTTAATTGACGTCTCTACATCCTTTAATAAAAGATTTTCCACCCGAGTTTCCCCTATATTTTACATTAATTTATCGCTGAGTTTGACGCTCGTTCAAGCGCACGGCACTGCAGCCCCGTGTGTATACCGAGGCATGCATACCTTCGGTGGTTCATCTCAACGACAGACCAGTGAGTGCAAACCTGCGCCTAAAAAAGAGTTTCTTGACTGCATTCTCTTTAAACACTCACATACTCTTCAGCTTTCCTCCTTGCCTCTTCGTTCCTGCCCAGCCGCCGCCGCCGCAGCGGCAGCCGCCGCAGCTAACGCGTCATGTCGTCGCTCCTCCGTAGGCTAGCTTGCGTGGGGGCCCCTATGGGGGCCCCTCTGGGGGCCCATTCGGGGGGTTTAAGGGGTCTTGGTGCTCTGGGGACCTCCGTGAGGTCGTTCGCGAGTTACCAGGGGCAGAAAGTTACCTCTGAACAACTTCTAAAGAAGAGCGACGACTGGCTTATTGAAGAAACCAACTTCTGCCTGGGGCGTGTTGTTGTAAGAACACTCGTTGCTGCTGCTGTTGCCGCTGCTGTCGCTGCTGCTGCTGCAGAGGTGCTGCTGCTGCTGTGCTGATGCTGCTGCTTCTGCATGCGACGCCATTGAAGACTGCCGCCCCGTAGCGTGATGCTTCATATTCTTCTAATGTTTGTTACTGCTTCACATATCATTGTACTCGGTACGTCGCCTCCGCTTGATCCGGCCTTGCTGCTGCTGCTGCTGTTGCTGCTGTTGCTGCTCCAGCCGGTGCGTTTTAAAGAGACGGACGACTTGGCTCACCGCGTGCTGCATCTCATGGATGCACAGCTAGGCAAGATGCATACTCGTCTACGAGACGGGACCTGCATCCCTGTTATGGGGCTTTACATCACATGCGTCACAGACAAACCCACCCCTCTGCATCAGTGCCTCGTATGCTGCTGCTGCTGTTGCTGCTGCTGCTACTGCTGCTGTTGAAATACTCCTGCTGCTTCTCCTGCTTCTGCTGCTTATACTGTTCTGCCATGCTTGCTGCTGCGGATCTGTTGCTGCTGGCAGTCCGGATGCTGCCGCAGCTGTGTCTGTACTGCTGCTACTGTTGCTGCTGGTGACTGCCTCTGTATCTGAGACAATTTGTCTGTTTTTGTTGTTTTTTTTTATTGTTCTTGTCTCCTCACTTTCTGACGCTTCCGAGATAAACTTTTGTCTTTTTCCTCTCTGCAGCTGCTTCATTTGGTGTGTATAGCCGGCTTTGTTGAGTGCTCGTCTGTCTCCTTCCATCTATATCTGCTGTCTCTGCTGCCTCTGCTTCTCTTGCTTATCATTTGCTGCTGCTGAGCTTCTCGCTGCTGCAGGAGACGCCGCTTCTGAAATACACATGGGACGAGACCTACACAGAGGCTTATGAAGACTAAGCTTCCCTAGCCAGCTAGGTAGCTAGCTAGCCAGCTGGCTAGCTAATCGGCCGCCTTCCGGGCACTCGAGCTAGCTAGCCACTTAGCTAGCTAGCCTGCTAGCTTGGTAGCTAGCTACACATGCTATCCCGGCGTTCCGTGACCAACTTAGGGGCTCTCGCCCCACCAGACCAGCAAGTGAAGGACTGAGCTGGAGAGCTAGCTAACCAGCTAGCTAGGCTAGCTAGCCGGACAGCTAGCTAGCCGCTAGCTAGCCAGCTAGCTAGCTGTCCAGATGCTTCGCCTTAAGGCGGCGCTTGTGCCGATATACCACCTTAAGAGCTGCGCCCATTATAAAGCTGCTGTTGCTGCTGCTGCTGCATGACGCAGCAACAGGGTAGCAGCGGAGCCAGCTAGCTGGCTAGCTGTGCGTGCAGAGGTGCAGTCTGGGCAGCTGAGGCTTTTTGTTGTTTGCTGTACTGCAACAACAGCTGCAGCAGCAGCAGCGGCTGCAGCAGTTGCAACAGCAGCAGCTGCCGCTTAACACACTGTTTGCTGATGCGTGTTCTGGATAAGGCCCCAGCGTATGGCTAGCTGCAGCCTCTCTATGACGGCCAGCTAGCTACGAGAATCAGCTAGCTGTTCCTTCACTGGCTGCACTGCAGCACTTGGCTAGACAGGTTAGTTGCTAGTCAGAGGGCCGCGGCTGCTTGAGAAAGCACGCGACGTAGCTTAGTACGTAGCCAGTTCTCTAGTTCGCCAGTGGCTAGCCAGCTAGACAGCTAGCTAGCGAGCTAGATAGATAGGTAGAGAAGGGAGCAGCAACTCTTCTGCAGCTCCATGTATTTAGCCCTTGGTTCTTAGGGCCGACATTCTTGAGGTTTTGGGGGTTCCCGAAGGCAGGTAGCTAGGTAGCTGCATGGCTAGCTACTAGCGAAGTAGCCAGCTAATTGGCTAGCTGGCTGTCAACTGGCTAGCTAGCTAACTAGCTAGCTAGCTGGATAGCTGAGAAGTATCTACTGGTTCCGCAGGCGCCTAAGCATCGCCTGGGCTTGGGCCAGCGGCGTTGGCTGCAAGGGAGGCAGCTGCTGCCGCCGCTGCTGCAGCAGCTGCTGCTGCTGCAGCGAATGCTGTTGCTCCTGCTGCTGGAGGTGCGTTGGAGCCTCTGCTTCTAAGTCGCTCGGCTCTGTAGGTGCGTCGCTCCAGGCCTCCTCCGTAGCTGCGTCAGTTCCTGTATCAGCAGCAGCAGCTGCTGTCCTTGGTGGTGGTGGTGGTGCTGCTGCTGGTCTGTTGGGGGCGTCTTCTTCAGTATCCGAGCCACTGACAAAGCTGTTGTTGCTGCTGCTGCGTGACACGGGATTTCTGCTGCTGGCGTAGCTGATAGGAGCAGCCTCACGCTGATTCCGCTGCTTCTGCTGCTGCTGCTGCTGCCCGAGATTATATCTTATGCTGGTGGTGGTGCTGCTGCTGCTGCCTCTGTTTGCTGCTGTAGTTGGTACTGCGCTTCTGCTGCGAGAACCGGCTGCTGCTGCTGCCGTCTGTGCTGCACTAGTTCCTGCCCTCGGTGGAGTGGGCCAGGGTGCCCTGCTGCTGCTGCTGCTGCTGTTGCTGCTGCTGCGTAGACCGGAAGTAATTGCATGCGGAGGCGCAGCAGCAGCAGCAGGTGCAGCTGTCGTTCGCTGCAACGTTGGGGGCCCTACGGAACCTAACGCCCTCGGGGCCCGCGGAAATCGGTGCTGCAGCAGCTGCTGTTGCTGCTCCTGTTGTTGCTGGGGCTGTTCATGCTGTAGCTTTTGCTGCCTTATCTGGAGAAGCTGCTGCATAGCAGACGAGGCGCTAGGAAGTGGTGTTTGCTGCTGGTGCTGCTGCTGCCGTGCTTGGTGCTGCAGTTGCTGCTGGTGTATCTGCGGCTGCAGCTCCTGCTGCTGCTGCTGGTGCAGTGTGGAGAGGAGCGCTGGGCTACCCACTAGCCTTTCCGTACGTGGGGTTGGTAGCGATGTCGGTGCTGCTGCTGCGGCTGCTGCTGCTGCTGGCGCTGCTGCTGCTGCTGTTTGTGCTGCTGCAGAGGCCTGCACGAAGCGGGGGCTGAGCCCTCCGCCAGGAGCGGCGGCCCTCAGCCTCGTGACATTTTCCTCAGCAGCAGCAGGGGCAACAGCAGAAGCAGCAGCAACAGCTGGTGCAGCAGCAGCAGAAATAGCTTTGTGCACTTCATAGCGGGGAGTCGCGCTTAGAGGTGAGGAGACACCTAAAGGTACGTGTCTCTCCCCTGCAAGGCCAACCTCCAGCCGCTGCAGCAAATGGGCAGCAGCAGAACCTGTAGATCCCTGTACAAGACGAAAGAGGCGAGCTGCAAGCAGCAAACACAAGCAGCAACCCATCCAATACAACTCTGTTGCTGCTGCTGCAGTTACTGCTGCTATAGTTGCTGCTGTTCTCTGCTGCCGCTACTGCTGCTGCTGTTGCTGTTGCTTACCCACGAACTCTCTTTGGCTGGAGACGAAAGCTGCATGCGCCGTTTTGAGCATTGACCCAAAGCCTGCGGCCTCAACAGCACAGCGGAAGCTCTGGAGTCTGCTGTCCCTGCGTCTTTGCTGCTGCAGCCGCTGCTGCTGCTGTGCTGCTACAGCCTCAGCAACGACGCCTTCTGCGCCGTCATTTGCGCCAGCAGCGGCAGCAGCAGCAACTGCCGCTGCTGCATCTTCTGCTGCAGTTGCTTCTTCCTCCCCCAGCAGCGCAGTTGCAGCAGCAGAGGCGCCGTCTGCTGCTGCAGCAGCAGCAGCAAGCAGCTGCGGCCGCCTGGCTAAGGATGAGAATTTCAGTGTATGTACAGCAAACGTCAACACAACCGCAAGCGTCTTGTTAAGGCTCTGAAGGGTTGTGGGGCTTTCTAGGAAGCAGCCGCTGCTGATGCTGCGCATACACTCCAAGTGCTGCTGCTGCAGCAACTCCGCGCTGGGGCTGCCGCGGCAGCAAAACGCAAGCAGCCGCCCAAACTCAACATCCACCACCTGCAGCAGCAGCAGCAGCAAATGCAGCAGGAACAAGTTCAGCATCAGCAAATGAAGCAGCAGCAAGTGCAGGAGCAGCAAACGCAAGCATGGTGACCTCTCAGCTGTACGTGCAGCAAAAGCAGCACAGGCAGCTTATCTGTCTGTACACCTAAAGTCTGTGTGCTTAAATGTCTGTTTAAGATTAATATACATCGTTAGAGACATAAGAAAGGAGACAAGAGACAAAGTAAGCCATTTGACCCCTCGTTTTCAGAGCAGCACGGAAGTGCGCCCCGGCCTCCCTGAAGCCAAACAAATCCTACAAACAAGCAAGCAAGAAGCAGCAGCAGCAGCAGATGCAGCAGCAACAGCATATGCAGCAGCAGCGGTAAATGCAGCAGCAGCAGAAGCAGCAAATGCAGCAGCGATCACGACTCCCCGCAGGAAGGCACATGGTGCAACGAGCCAAATAGCAGAAGAACAGCAGCAGCAGCTCCCGCTGCTGCTGCTGCTTTGGGAGACACCAGGCCAAAGGACGAAAAAAGCAGCAGCAGCAGCAACAGCAACTGCTACTGCTGTTTCGCAGCAAGGAGAGCAGAACGTGACGATGCGCGGCACAGCAGCAGCAGCAAGAACAGCAGCAGCACGAACAGCAGGAGCAAGAGCAGCAGCAGCAACAGCTGCAGCAGCAGCATACCTTTGTCTTAATTAGGTCGCGCCAGACAAGCGCTAGCTGCCGGCTAGCCAAATGTAGCTGCATCAGCTGTCTGTACACCAACTGATATATTGCAATTGTCTCCCTTGAGAACAGCAGCCGCAGCGGGCCCCGACAGTTTAGACTCAGACACAGGCGGCGGTAGATATCTGCAGCAGCTGCTGCTGAACTGCCACCATGGAGGGCCCCAGGCACGCTAGAGGCCTGTGCATCCACAACCGTAAACCCTAAACCCTAAACCCTAAACCCTAAATCCTAAACCCTAAAACCTAACCTGTTGGCCCGAAGTCCACAGGGTGCTGCTGCAGCTGCTGCTGAGAGACCCTGGGAGCAGCAATGAGTTGTGCATACAGCTGAGGCTTTGCTGCAGCTCGGTGCAGCAGCTGCGCGGCCTCTGACAAACTCGCGACGGGGTGTAGAGACAGCGACAAGTCATCGCACAGCCTAAGCAGCAACAGCAGCAGCAGCAAAAGTAGCAGCAAAAGAAATAAAAGCAAACGCAACGGCAACAGCAGCAAAAAAAGCGACAGCAGCACAACCGCACAACCACAAATGCCAGCAGACAGAACTTGGGCAGCAACAGCAGCAAGTGTAGTCGAGCCAGCAGCAGCAGCAGCAGCAGTGACGGAGACCGCAGTAGCAGCAGCAGCAGAAGTGGGAGAGACCGCAGCAGCAGCAACGGACCATTCGTATTCAGTGACGCTTCGTATTGCTGCATCCATCCGGGCCTCTAGAACATGCATTTGCTGCAGCAGGTGTTGCTGTTGTTGCTGCTGCTGCGCTTCTATGCCTCTGCCGGCCGTTGCGGCAGCAGCAGCAGCAGCACGTTGCTGTTGCAGCGGATCTGCTGTGGGGTCGCACGACTCTAAGAATGCAGCAAATACATCTCCACGCCCTCCAAGACAGAGGGCCTTAAGACCTTTTAGGAAGCCAAGGAAGCCCTGTGCTGCAGGGTGGTCTGCTGCTGCTGCTGCTGCTGCTGCTGCTGGGTCCCCTAATACCAGAGGAGATGCCAGCATGGCATACACTGCAGCAGATGCTGCTTCTGCTGCTGCAGGCAGTGCAGCGGAAGACAGCTCCTGCTGCAGCAGCAACAACGAGTTGCTGCTATCTCCCCGCATCGAGGCAAAGTAGCGGCTCATGTCGGGCCACGGCTGAAGCAGCAGCAGCAGCAGCAGCAGCAGCACAGCAGCAGTAGCAGCGGCAGCATTAGTATAGTCAGACATTACATATAATGCAACCCCCTCCTCCCGGTGTACAGCGAGGAAACTGTACATATACCTCAAAAACGCTCTATGCGCAGCTGCCACCTGCTGCTAAAGACACCGCAGCAGCAGCAGCAGCAGCCAGCAGCAGCGGAGCAGCAGCAGCAGCAGCAGGCAGCGGAACATGCACTCCAACTCCCCACACCTGTTTGCAATCGCGCAGCAGCCGAATGCAGCGCCCAATTTGCAGCAGCTGCCTCGCTGCAGGTCGCAGCAAAGCCGGCACAGAGGAATCCTCTATAACAAAACGCTCCTGCCACTCCCAAGGCCAACCACCTAAACCACCTGCAGCAGCAGCAGCAGCAGCAGCAGTAGCACAGAGGCAGTGGAGGGGAACGCCCACAATGCACGCAGAAGCGGCTGCTGCTGCTGCTGCAGTAGCGGAGCTCATGCAGCAGCAGCAGCAGCAGCAATCGGTGGAATTGCTTCTGGTTGTGCAAAACCCGCGCTGCAGCAAAAGGAGGCTGCAGCAGCAGCAGCCGCAAAGGTTTAGGCAGCAACAGCAGCAGCAGCAGCAGCCGCAAAAGTTTAGGCAGCAACAGCAGCAACAGCAGCAGCAGCAACAACAGCAACGAGAGCCCTTACTGCAGTCGTCTGCAGATTCTTTCGTAAGTGGATCTCGAGTCTGCTCCGTCCGATCGCTGCACAAGAAACCCTAAACCCTAAACCCTAAACCCTAAACCCTAAACCCTAAACCCTAGACTCTCACATTGTGAACAAAGGCTTGGAAAGGCCTGCGTTGTATTCCTGGGGGTGGTAGACGCCCAGACGGTAGCTAGCTCTAGGCTAGGGTTTAGGGTTTAGGGTTTAGGGTTTACCGTATGAAGAACTCTCTGTATGCATCGTGAAGTTCTCCTTGCAGCAGCCAGCAGCGAAGAAAATGAACAAGGGGGCTCATGGCTTGCTGCTGCAGCAGCAGCAGCAGCTGCCTGCTGCTGTCTCCTGCTGGTATTCTTGCTGCTGCTGCTTCAAGCGTATTAAGCAGGGCCCCTCCTCGCAGCCCCCAGCAGCAGCGAACCGCTTCAGCAGCAGCTGCTGCAAGAGCTGCAGCAGGAGCAGCAGCAGCACGTAAACCTTGCAAAGACAGCACACCCTGCCTGCAGCTTGTCTCCCAGCAGCAAACCCTAAACCCTAACTCGTTAATAAAACCCCCGATCCCAGCGAAGAGTGCAGCGCCCACTGCCCCCATCTCCTCAAGGCGGCTACCTGCTGCTTGCTGCGCATGCAGCAGCAGCCGCACGTCTGCTGCTGCTGCTGCCAGCTGCTGCAGCAAACCCTGCAAACCCCCGCCGCTTGAAGACCCATTGCTGTCTTCTTCTCGCTGCAGCAGCGGGTGCAGCCAAACAGAAAACGAAGGCAAAGGCGGTAATGAGCATCTGCTGCTGTTTATATCATATGGATGCCTTTCTAGCAGCTGCAGCAGTTGCTGCTGCTGCTGCTGCTGCTTCTGGCTCTGCTGCTGCAGATCCGCCTCGTGCGCCTGCTGCAGCAGCAGCTCCTGCTGCTGCTGCTGCAGCGCAGCACGCTGCTCCTCCTCTTCCTCGAAGTACGGCTGCCTTACTACTCGCAGCAGCACTCCATCAACACCCAGCAGCAGCGACAGCAACTCATCGAGCAGCAGCCGCTCTCTTACTGCATGCGGTAGCACCGGCCAGTCTGCTGCTAGCTGCTGCGGGCCCCAGTTCACAGCTGCAGCAAACTCTGCCTCGCTGCTGCTGCTGCTGTTGCTGCTTCTGCTGCCCTGCTGCTGCAACAACAGCAGCTCTTGTTGCTCCTCCATAGGCAGCGGAGGGGCCGGAGGCACAGCAGCAGCAGCAGCAGCAAGCCCGTGCTGCTGCAGTAGAGCAGCAATGCTGCTGCCACCCCACACCTCTGCTGCTGCTGCTGCAGCATCCCACAAGCTGGGCGCGAGCAGCGCAGCAGGAAATCGTGACAAGGAGAGGCTGCAATGGGGTATCCCTGCCTTTTCTATATGCCATCCGCAGTGTACGTACACCCCAGCAGCAGCAGCAGCAGAAGCTGCTGCTGCTGCTGTTTGCTGCTCGGGAGGGGACTCGAAAGAAAGTGAAGGGGTAAGACAGACGCGGCGCTGCTGCTGCTGCTGCTGCGCTGGGTGCTGCTGCGGCCGCAGCAGCAGCTGCAACGATAAGAATTCCCCTGTCTTTTGATTCTGCAGCACCAACTCCTCCCCGTGCTGCAGCAGCACATCTTCCGTGGGTTGCTGCTGGTTTTGCTGCTGCTGCTGCTGCAGCTGCTGCAGCCGCTGTGGCAGCAAGTGGGAAGGCAGCAAAGAGGGGCGCAGCAGCTTCCACCGCAACCGCGAATCTGCTGCTGCTGCTGCTGCTACGGCTGCTGCTGCAGCTGCTGATCCTGTTGCAGCGGGACATATCTGCTTCGCAACAACTGGCGTCCCGGGGCCCCAATCTTGCTTTGCATGCGTCCTACTAATGCCATTCGCTGCTGCTGCTGCTGCTGCTGCTGCTGTTGCAGCCGAATAGACAACCTTAGGAGGGGGGCCCCGCCCATTTGCTGCCCCCAGCAGCCACAGTGTTGCTGCAGCATTTTGTTTGGGGGCCCCCAGAAATGCTAGCAGCACTTCCGTTCCATGGCTGCAGGAAGTGGATGATCCGACTGTATTGCTGCTGCTGCTGTTGCTGCTGCTGTTGCTGCTGATCTTCTTGTGGTGGGCAGGATAGGTGGAGAGCAGCAGCAGCTTGCTGCTGGGGCTGTTAGGAAAGGGAGGGCTTGAAGAGACGATGCAGGGGACTTCTGTTCCTGCAGCAGCAGCTGCTGCTGCTGCTGCGGTTGCTGCTGTAGTACGGGGTGTATAGCTGCCGAAACGGCCTGTTGCAGGTGTTGCTGCTGCTGCTGTGCCTCCCGCTGCTGCTGCTGCTGCTGCATGCGTCTCGTCTACAGTCAAATACTGATGACCGCCACGCTGCCCCGAGACCAAACCCACGGAGCAGTGCAGCTCCACAGGGGAAGCAAGCGGCTGCCGCGGCATTGGGATTTGCTGCTGCTGCTGCTGCAGGCGCTGCTGCTGCTGCTGCAGGTGCTGCTGCTGCTGCTGCAGCTGCTAGCACGGCTGCTGCAGAGGTTACGGGTGTTGCCACTGTTGCTACTCATGCGGCTGCGGTTGTTGCTCGTATTGCTGGTGCTGCTGTTGCTGTTGCTGCTGCTGCTGCTGCTGTTGCTGCTGCTGCTGCTGTTGTTGTTGTTGCTGCTGTTGCTGCTGCTTCTGTTGCTGCTGCTTCTGTTGCTGCTGCTTCTGTTGCTGCTGCTGCTGCAGAGGGAGCGTCGGCTCCCTTGGGGTGTACCGACACGTCTGCAGCGTACGAGGTAGCGGAGTCTGAGTTCGTGGATATAAATATCTCAAACAAACACCAGAATATAAATAAAAAATAAAAATAATATTAATATTATATTATAAGAAACTATTCTCAACAGGAACGTCTGCTAACGTGCAGCAGCAGCGCCGACATGGTGGTTATGGGTGGGGTTGCTGCATGCATGCAAAAGACATTTGCTGCGCTGCTGCAGCATTTCTTCAGGCATTTTTGCTGCTGCTGCTGCTCCTGTTGTTGCTGCTGCTGCTGTGCTGCTGCTGCTGTTGCTGTGGCTGTTCTTTGTGCTACCGTTGTTGTTGTTGTTGCTGCTGCTGCTGCTGCCGCTCGTGAGCCCTGCTTGTCTGTGCATTATTTCTTCTTTGTTTTATTTTTAAATTCAAAATGCAGAATTTTTAATTTTTATTTCGGATGACGAATTACGCACCGCCCTTTGAAGCCGAAGATGCCCTCATTTGTTTGTACACACAAATATGTACATATATATATATATATATATATATATATGTACATATAGTTATACACATATATAGATAGTTATATATATATAACATGTATATTACCTAAACTATATCTAACAAATATGCAATAGTAAATTGACTGAACTATCGACGCTGTAAAATGAACTTCAGTCCTCTGTGCATGCAAAAAGTATATATATATATATATATATCATATATATATATATATATATATTGGTGTATGCACATACACCTGCGCATGCATCCGATGTTTCGTCTCCTCTACTTCGATGTTTATTTTAACTCTTCGTTGAGGAGACAGCCAAAGACGCAGCTGTCTGTACACCTGAAACAAAAAGGGGCTGCCTGGCTGTCTCTCCTCTACGGCCACCTACTCACACCATTCTACAGCAGCTGCAGCAACTGATGCTGCTGCTGCTGCAGCTGATACTGCAGCTGATGCTGCTGCTGTAGCTGCTGCTGCTGCAGCCGATGCTGCTGCAGCTAGTGTAGCTGTGCCCAACAGATGTCCCTGAGGGAGGCGAAGCCCCCACTGTCTTCAGCTGCGCATGCAGCCCCAAAAATTCAAAACAGATTAAAGCCAGCCAGCAAAACTCGCTCGGCAAGTGCAGCAGCAGCAGCACCAGCAGCAACAGTGACAGGCGGCAGGGCAGAAGCATCAGCTGCAGAGCCGCTGCTGCTGCTGCTGTTGGTGCTGCTGCTGTTGAAGCTGCTGCTGCAGTTGTTCGAGTTTCGTTTCTTCTGGCTCTAAAGCCTCTCGTGCTCCAGCAGCAGCAGCAGCTGCTGCTGCTGCCTCTGCTGCCTCTGCTGCTGCAGCTGCTGCAGCAGCAGTCGTAGCTATGTCTGCGGATATGAAGTTCATTCTGAGTCGTGTGCATCTTTTTTTTGTTTATGTTTTTTGTGTTTGTGCTTTTTATGCTTTTTGCGATGTTTTTCTCGCCTAGCATTATTAGAGGCCTCCGAGTCTTCCTCACCCCCTTCTGCTGCTGCTGCTGCTTCTGCTGTTGCTGCTGCTTCATCTTCTTCTTCAGCAGCAACAGCCTGCTCGCTGTCTTCCTCCTCATCCGTTTCAAGAGCACGAGGGCGCTTTGAACGCTGCAGTGGGGGAAAGGCTGCTGCTTCTGCTGCTGCTGCTGCCTCAGATGCTGCGTCTGCTGCTGCTGAATTGCTGCCTTCTTCGGTATCTGTTGCATCTGCTGCTTCATTTGAAGCAACATCTGCTGCTTGAGACTTCTCTCCATCTGATGCTGCTGCTGTTGCTTCCTCTTCCTCCGCTGCTGCAGCTGCCGCAGGGCCCTCACCTGTTTCTGCTGCTGCTGCTGCTGCAGTGTCTGAGTCATCCTCCTGATCGGAAGCAGCTGCGCGTATGAGCCTGCGTGTTTCTTTAGTTTTGCTGCTGGGGGTGTCTTCCTCCTCTTCCTGCTGCTGCTGCTGCTGCTCGTCTTCTGCTGCATCTGCTGCTGCTCCTGCAGATTCTTCTTCATAATCACCCTCTTGTTCTGTATGTTTATGCTTTTTTCTCTTTTTCTGTTTCTTCTTTTTCTTGCTGCTGCTCTTGCGTTTGCTGCGGTGTCTAGACACCTCATCTTCGGCGTCGCTGATGGCTCCCTCGATGGAATCATCTATGAAATTATCATTTTCTTTTTGTTTGCGTTTGGGCTGCTGCTGCTGCTGCTGCTGCTGCTGCCGCCGCTGCTGCTGCTGCTGCTTTAGGTTTTCAGGAGCCGGGCGTAGCGGCAACGAAGCAGCAATTGCTTTGGCTTCTTCTGCTAGCTGCTGCTCCACCTGGCGTTCTTGCTGCAGCATGAGTTCTTCTTGCATGCGTCTTTGTTCCTCCTGCTGCTGCAGCAGCAGCAGCTGCTGCTGCTGCCGCTGCTCGTGCTGCTCCCGCTGCTGCGTCACCCACCGCAGCTCTAAGATAGGCACCATACGGTTAATATGGTGAAGCACTCTTTCTCGAGACAGCTGATGTGCACCCATCTGGCCGTGTGCAGCAGGAATATCTTCAATGCCTTCAGGAGGAATAACAACAACTCCTGCTGCTGCTGCTGCTGCTGCTGACGCTGCTGCTGGTGCTGGTGCTGCTGCTGATGGTTGCCCTGCTGCAACAGGAAGCATGCGACCGTCGCTGCTCCAGCAAAAGGGATATCCTGCTGCTGTTGCTGCTGCTGCTGCTGCTGACACCAGAGACTTCGGGCCTTCTTCTGATGCCAAGATAGACAAAGGACGAAACTCTGCAGCAAACCCCAAACCCCAAACCCTAAACCCTAAACCCTAAACCCTAAACCTCTTGAGTGGTGCTCACGGTGAAGATGAATTGCACAGCACAGAGGATGAGACTGCACGCATACAAGTTTACGGTTTAGGGTTTAGGGTTTAGGGTTTACCGAGCTTGGCTTGAAGGCGTAGAGAAGCACTGAGGGCATTGGGGGCCCCATCAAAGAGAGCTTTAATAGCTTGAGTCCTCTGCATGCACAGCTGCTGTGTCTCTACAACATGCTTCACGTGGTGTATAAACACTGCCGTTTCCAACTGCTGCCGCAGCCCCAAAGCGCGAGTCTGATACGCGTCGCATAGAAAACCCTGCACGTACACCGCAGCATCATAACAAATAAATAAATAAATAAATAAGTGTAAATATATATGTATAGATGAATAAATAATATATTAAGTTATTTATTATATTCTTCGATAAAGAAAGAGCATTCAAAGCAAATGTGGATTTAGGGGCTATGGGTGTTTATATCAGAAGAAAAAAAGGGTTTAGGGTTTACTGTACTATACAACAAGTGAAAAGGGTTTAGGGTTTAGGGTTTAGGGTTTACCAAGTTGTAAGCAAATCGAACATCGCGAGGCCACCGCCTCAAAGCGATTTGCATCAGTTCAATACCCGCCGTGAAAAACTGCAGCATAAACCCTAAACCCTAAACCCTAAACCCTAAACCCTTGGCCCAAACCCTAGCGCTACGGTTTCTAAGCATAACCCTTGAATGTAATTCCCAAAGGAAGGCGTAAAGAGCCAAGAGAGGGTTTTAGGGTTTAGGGTTTAGGGTTTGCGGTGTACGTACACCGCAGTCATGAAAGAGCCGCCCCATAGCTAAGTAGACATTCCTTTCCGTAGGCAGTGCGTCGCTTGCTGCCAAGTAATAAAATAGGGCCTGCAGCAGCAACAGCAACAACAGCAACAGCAGCAACAGCAGCAGCCACAGCAGCAGCAGCACACATATAACCACTCATATATATATATATATATATATATATATATATATATGCTTGCGCCACTGCAAACGCGAGTATGTCGCGCTGAGGGTTTAGGGCT